CTATAACTAATATTTTACTATCTCTCAATACTAAAGTGACAAGAGTGCGTTAAATTTTTTGATCTCGTTACAACTTAGATTTGATCCGACTTCAAAATAGGCATTTAAATTGGACGTGTCTCTAGTTCTTGAATTTACAAAAACACAGTTTTGAAGGTACACTTGTGTGTCTTGAGAGTTTATCAGGCGTTATTATATTTATTTGACCCATATTATCTATTTTCATCTTATGGGCAGTTAAATTTATTATTATTATTATTATTATTATTATTATTATTATTATTATTATTATTATTATTATTATTATTATTATTATTATTATTATTATTATTATTATTATTATTATTTATTATTATTATTATTATTATTATTATTATTATTATTATTATTATTATTATTATTATTATTATTATTATTATTATTATTATTATTATTATTATTATTATTATTATTATTATTATTATTATTATTATTATTATTATTATTATTATTATTATTATTATTATTATTATTATTATTATTATTATTATTATTATTATTATTATTATTATTATTATTATTATTATTATTATTATTATTATTATTATTATTATTATTATTATTATTATTATTATTATTATTATTATTATTATTATTATTATTATTATTATTATTATTATTATTATTATTATTATTATTATTATTATTATTATTATTATTATTATTATTATTATTATTATTATTATTATTATTATTATTATTATTATTATTATTATTATTATTATTATTATTATTATTATTATTATTATTATTATTATTATTATTATTATTATTATTATTATTATTATTATTATTATTATTATTATTATTATTATTATTATTATTATTATTATTATTATTATTATTATTATTATTATTATTATTATTATTATTATTATTATTATTATTATTATTATTATTATTATTATTATTATTATTATTATTATTATTATTATTATTATTATTATTATTATTATTATTATTATTATTATTATTATTATTATTATTATTATTATTATTATTATTATTATTATTATTATTATTATTATTATTATTATTATTATTATTATTATTATTATTATTATTATTATTATTATTATTATTATTATTATTATTATTATTATTATTATTATTATTATTATTATTATTATTATTATTATTATTATTATTATTATTATTATTATTATTATTATTATTATTATTATTATTATTATTATTATTATTATTATTATTATTATTATTATTATTATTATTATTATTATTATTATTATTATTATTATTATTATTATTATTATTATTATTATTATTATTATTATTATTATTATTATTATTATTATTATTATTATTATTATTATTATTATTATTATTATTATTATTATTATTATTATTATTGGGGAAAGAAAAATTGAAAAAATTGTCTGGAAAATGAGAAATTCCGCATAAACTATGGTGTATTTTCTATAGAATTTTTGGAATTGAATGCTGGATATTCGTAATTTTTTATTGTTTTATTTGTTATATTCCTGGAAAAGTTTTTAGATAAAAAAAATAGGACTATTAAAGAGGAAGATCCAAACATTCAGAAAAACTGCAAAACTCACAATTTTTATGCACTCTTGACCATAACTGACGATGAAACGACATTTATTTATTTATTTATTTGTTTCATTTTTGGGATGGAAATAACTTGATTGAATGTAATAATTTGAAATAAAGAAAATATGGTATATCTAAAAAAATTTAAAAAAATTTATTCACTATAATTACTGAGATATGTTGCTATTATCTCAATATCTCAATAACCTTCACTAACACGGCGTTTACACAAGACAGCGTTCTGTCACTGTCACAGACATGACAGTGACACTGTCATGACAATTGTTTTGTTTTGTTTAACTGCAACTGTCTGTCTGGCTGGAGATTGTAAAGTGATTGTAAACTCATTATTAGACATGGCGTTAACTGTGAAGCAGGTAAAAGCTGTTGGCGCTATATTAGCCCTAAATTTTATGGAACAAGAAGAACGAGAAGAACGGCAAACGCGACGTAAGAGGAGATGGTGGGTTAAGCCTTTTTTAGCCAAAAGGCTAAAATATGATATTCAGTGCAGTTTACTGACAGATTTGTTAATGGGAGATTCCAAAGATGTTACCAATTTTCTTCGAATGACACATGAACAGTTCGAAGAATTACATGAGAAGGTAAGATAATGCGTCAAGAATATGAGAAAGCATTAATTAGTATTGTTTTTTAGATCAAAGATAAAATTAAAAAAAAGGATACCCATTGTAGACCTGCTATAAGTAGCGAAGTTAAATTTGCAGTTACTTTAAGATATTTGGCTACTGGTGATTCATATAAGTCATTACAATTTTTATCCAGAATTTCACCTGCTACCATTTCGATATTTATTCCTGACGTCCTTAAGGCTATTTATAACTCCCTTGTCCAGGAGTACATGTCTGTAAGTAAATCGGAAGGGTATTATTTATACATATAATTTTAAAAATTGTTTTATTATGTTGCAGTTTCCTCAGAATACTGTTGAATGGTTAAAAATTAGTAAAGATTTTGAAGACATTTGGCAATTTCCACACACAGTAGGTGCATTGGATGGAAAACATATCCGTATAAAAAAACCAGACAATGAAGGTTCAATGTTTTACAATTATAAAGGATTCCATAGCATTGTATTACTAGCATTGGTTGATGCTCATTGTAGATTTATATTTATTGATGTTGGTTGCAATGGAAGAGCTTCTGATGCTGGTGTTTTTCAAAATTCCTATTTAAATAATTGCATCAAAGACAAATCTATAAATCTGCCTGAAAATGATGCATTACCAATGACAAATGCAAGTTGTCCATATTTTATTATTTCGGATGATGCTTTTGCTCTAGATTTACATTTAATGAAGCCATATTCAAGAAGTGGATATTTAACACAGGAGCAAAAGATATTTAATTATCGAATATGTAGAGCACGCATGGTTGTGGAGGTTGCTTTTGGACGACTTGCTGGTAGATTCCGCATATTCCATAGACCAATTGAAGTGAAATTAAACACAGTTGATTGGATTGTAAAAACCTCCTGTGTTTTACATAATTTTCTATCAAAAGAAATGACGAAAACTAGAGTGATTGATACACTACAGAGTGAAGAAACTCCTTTTACTTTCATGGATATAAGTGAACAAAACAATGAAAGGCCATACAGATTTGCTTGTCGCATCCGTGACACATTAGCACAATATTTAATAAGTAGTGGTAATGTACCATTTCAGTGGAATAAAATTTAATGTAAACAGACTTCAAAAAAGGAGGAGGTTCTCAATTTTTGTCAGAATATTTTTTTGTATGTTCAACGATAATTCTTTAACAAGGTGTTCGACTTCAATGATTCTTTTATGTATGTTTAGTGATACTTCTTTACCACCTTGTCCAATTTCTGTGATTCTGTTTTTGTTAGTAAGGGGGTACCTCAGGGGGGTCCTATATAAATTTGTTCAAGATGTGGTGATGGCATCTGCACAATTTTGAAGTCTGTTTTTTAAAATTACATTTAATATTAATAATTGTTTTTGTATAAGAAAATGTATATAATGAAAAATAAACTAATATTTCAGAATATTGTGTATTTTATTTGATGTAAAGAATAAAAACTTTAAAAAAAGGGAGAAACAATCATTTCTGAAAAACGTGAGTTTCATTCTTTTTGAATATAGAATTGTCTTATAAAATATATTGAGTGAGTATATGGTAAGTAATTATTAATAAAATGATGTCTTACATGTATTTGTCCGTGCTTAAAAAAATATTAAAAAAGAAAAAAATTAAATAACTAGTAAACCAAATAAAAAAATCAATAACCATAAGTAATATAAGCATATATACTCGAATACTAATTATAGACATAATAACAAAAAAATTGTACTTGAAACAATATTGAATATTTTATAGAACAGAAACAAAGAGTCTGGCTAATTGATTCCTACACATTTCCTACCACAGCCATTCAACTAAAAAATAAGGATGTCTGGTCTAGATTAAAAATAAGTCTTCACTTCTTTTTTGTGCAGAAATAGGTATTGTTAACTTATTTAATAATAGTGAAAGAATTGCATACAAAAAAACAGTCGTGCTAAGAGCCATATTGTGAAATATATATATAGAGTGTTGCATGACGTAATGCACAAACTTAAGTAGCATATTCCAGAGTTCATTTCAAGTAAACAATGTCCTATGAACCAATATCTTATTCTCCATGGTTACCGAGCTACAAACGTTTAGATATGTACACTGTCTGCATATTCATCCGAAAACCACAAACAGAAAATGTAGTTGACAAGCATATAACTGATTAGTCAATAACTTATATAATTGTTGATAAGCAACAAACCAAAAATTTTAAAAACATTGTAGGTACACTAGATTAATTTATAATCTGATCTTTGAACGTTTGTAGCTCAGTAACAACGTAGAATTGGATATTTGTTCATTGGAAATTTTTAGCTTAAAATGAGTTCAGTAATATATTTAAGTTTGTTCAGACATCAAGCAACATCTTGTTGTATTGGTACAACAATGCAATCAATTAGGCACTAAATATTATTAAACAAAGCTATTACAAAAAAAGACATGTATAGGAAATATGTCAACTTTTACATAGGTACCCTAGGGTTACTACAAATTATACCCAAAATTATTTCTAAAAAGGTTAATACATTACAACAATTTACCAAAAATTTTAAAAGAACCTTACAACCCTAACTTAATAAAAGTGCCTTATGATTTTTTTTTATTGTTTTATATTTTTGTTCTAATTGTAATGTATTGATATTTGCTTTTGTGTAATTAATTTAGTTGAAGCTAATCAACTCTCTTACGAATATTGTAACAAGTTTATAAAGTTTCAGGAAATAAATAAAAAAAAAAAAAATTGTTTGCAAACTTTTAATACTAAAAAAATATGTACAATAATGGTAATAGTTAGTATGTAGGTACAATTTATTCATCCTCAGAACTTTCTTGAGCTTCTGTCCACGCCCGATTTAAAATATTAATGTTTGGAATAACACATTCAAAATTGCCAAAATTTTCATCATATGTATGTACATGTGAGGAGGGCGATGGAATACTACTGTCTGTACATGAAAAATTCGAAAGTCCTGAGGAGCTTCGTACGTTCTTCAGTTGTGTAACTGGAGTTGAAACGTAAACAATTTTTGCAGTTTCTATATCTTTTAAACGATATTTTGTAATAATCGTTTGCATTTCAGCCATTGCATTTATAGCATTTACTTCTGTAAGTTTTCTTAAAGAAGACTCTACAAGATTGCCAAAATTACTAAATTCGTCACCCTGTGGTGCTTGTATTGTATTGGCACTGACAATTTCTTGTAGAGCCTTTTTGTATTTGTCACCTATATTATTTTTAATTATTTTTCTTCTTTTGTTCGTTTTTCTTCCCAAAATTTGTTCATGCTGGTCATCGTGTTGTTGCTCGTCATCGGGTTGTTGCTGTTCATCATGTTGTTGTTGATCATGTTGTTGTTGGTCGTCAAGTTGTTCATTAGGTTCGTCTTCATTAACAGAAACTTCTGTATCAGTCATCTAAAAAATATTTCTGTATAAGTACACTAACATTAAAAAAAGTACCTACTTTTAAATAGTGCTAATAAAAGTATCAGGGTTTGGAGCATGTTTGGAGGATATATATTAAGTGATATATATCATGATATTTATACCTTGATACATCTGATATATTCTATAATTTTATTTATTTAATTAAAAATGTTTTCCACCATTCTGAATATCCGAAAATGTCAATAAAATGTGAATAAAAGTATAATAACTAGCGATTTATGTCTCTGTGTTAAAATATTAATGTTAATAAAATGTTTTTTTTTTTTTTCATTCCGAGTTAAAATTTAAAATATAGTTTGTGCAAGAAACAATACTGTTAATAAAATAATGAAATTTTAAAAAGTATACCCTTGATTTGGGCTTGAACCACGCCCTAATTTGATAGATAGACCCTCGATTTTATTATTTTAGGTCTTTTAAATGAAGTCAATCAACATCAAACGTATTTCATTTATAAAATTTAAAAAATGCTCAACCTAGGGTAATTAACTTTCACAAAGAAACAAAAACTTACCGGTATTATATTATCTGTCGATTTTCTAAAAATTATTACACTGTCCAAAAAATTCATTTCTGAATACCAATGTAAATTTGGTTCATAAGGTTCTTCTGTTGCCCCTGAACCACTAGGATGGTATTCCAACACTTTTTTTCTTTCGGCGATGTAGGTCCCACGTAAACTTTTTATTTTTTTTTTTACTTCGGCTACTGAAATTTTAAATTCTTTGCTAATTTCCTCGTAGCACGTTTGTTTAAGGTCTAGTCTTTTATATAATCTACTTTTAACGTTCCACAAACAATCACTTTCCTTAAATTTTCTAATAAAATTAATAAGATGCTGCCCACGAAATCTACCTTCAGCCATTTTAATTTTAAAACAATCAAGATTACTGTCTCCAACGCTGTCTTGACAACTTTCAAGACAGTTGACAAGACAATTGTCATGTCAGCGATTGTTCAAGGATTGTCTGCGTTCACACAGAACAGTTTACTGTCATGTCTGTGACAGTGACAGTCAAACTGTCCTGTGTAAACGCCGTGTTCATTTGTTCATTGTCACACACCCTATACAGGGTATCCCGAACTTAGACGGTCATATTTTAACAGCGTAATCTACATCCTAAATTAGGAGTAAAAGTTCTTATAAAAAAAGGTCCGCAACCGTTTCTTTTCCGAGTTATAGGGTGTTCAAAGTGAAGTCCTGATGACACACTTTTGTAAATATGTTCTAGATGTTTGTTATAGTTTTAATTTAAATAGGAGAAAATAAATATATAAATCGATTGAATGATATACATTTCCACAAGTTATAGAAAGTTAAATGAAACTTACCATTTTGAAAATAAAACAGATTTAGAAGTTGATAATTTAATAGTTTAAAGTTTGGTTAACCTACAGAAAATATAAACATTTCATTCTGACAATCATCTGTCAACCTTGACCTTACTTCTTCTAGTGTAACTAGGACTTATTTCATTTCTTAAATGTTCTATGGCAAGGTTATGATTTATTATTTGAACAGATGCAATTTTCCACTAAAATTTTAATAGTTAGCTATATTGGTCGGCCATTAAATCAAGAAACTTCCTTCCTTTTTGGCTTTTTCTTTGATGGCATGAATTTGTTGGGTCCATGTGGTGCCTGTTCAAATTTAACGAATTTTATTCAGAATAAAAGCCATATATTAGAGACAATTACAACTATCATTAGGAAACTACATTATCTAGTCTTGACAGCACTTCTTGTGAATAAAGTAGTTTCTAGCACGGCCCTACCTTATATTCGGTAAAATCATATTTAGCTATACCTTTCGTTTTTTTCTTCTAGGCCTTTCAGTATTCGGTTTAGAAACCTATAAATTGCTTGCATAAGCTAAGTTAGAACCTTTAACGTTTAACGCTTACCTGCTTTTTGCTGTGGACTTCAGGTGAATCTTACTGTCTCCATTAATAGCTACTTGCTGGACCATAACTGTATGCTTACTAGCTCCTAGGCCCATGTATTTGTGAATGCTACATCCAGACTGCTGTGTACTTATTATTAGCACGCATGACGAATAGGTACCTATAGTGAGACCACCCCATACAACTTGTATCTGCTACAAACAAGTAAGAACTTTCCTTATATTCTTCTAAGGCTGATAAGCTGAGCTGGAACCTCAGCCTATTATTCCCGGCTTGGACAATATTAATATCATGTGTAGTGCCTAAATGCCTAAAAGAAAGGACATTAATAGTAAACGAATATAGATATATTACTCTTAGTAATAGTACCTTCAATTTGATACACTTACGTTCACCTCACTGTAAACAATTAGTACTAATTGGATATCGCAGGGCAACTTGATAGGTTTAGCATCTTCTGTTATTATTGCTCACATTAAAAAAACGAAACTAACCTGCACTGATCCTGGACTGGAATTAAATTATATGCGTAACATAAGTGTACTTTAAATCATATAACCCTCACCCACTCTTCTGTAGTTCATAAAACTACTTGAGCTATTTCTCTTTATTATTTAAGCAAACGGGTAATTGCATTATTAATAAGCACCCTCCTGATAAAGGGGTGGTAGCACGTTTTAAGATAACTAAGTGAAATTTGGTACAAATGCTAACCTTTTTACGTTCTATTTAATGGACTGAACTCCAGTTTTTTATCATCTTCATAGGTGGGCAAATTAGGGGGGCTTAGGGTAAAATTGTCTGAAGTTTTTTTGTTAACAGTTTTTACTATAAACTTTGAAAAACCAATGTTTTCTTTATAATTAAGCTACTTTTCTTGCATCTCGCTAGGATGCACCGTTTTCAAGAGAAAAACATTTCAAAATTTCATGATATCTTATGTTATCTTATTCGAAAGTGTAAACAATAATTAGTAGGCTTGTGGAATCAGACATTTTACTTTTTTTAACCTTGGAAAACCGGTGACTAAAGAAATTTTAAAATTTTTTATAAAATTGTGCCATCAGGACCCTGTATCTCGAAAACGAAACGTTTTCGGACCTATGTTTATATGAACTTCTACTCCTATTTTATTATGTAGATTACGCTGGTAAAATATAACCGTCTAATTTCGGGACACCCTGTATATCTATACTTCTGGAGCAGACAACCGTCCACATACATTTTACGGTATCCACATATCCACAAATGCAGCGGAAAATAAAAACAAGAAGCGGCAGTAGCGCGACTTCGTGTCAGAAATGTCGAAACGTTTTATTTTCGTACACTGTGAAAAATGCATAAGCGTAAAGTAAATCGGAAGTAGTATGAGTAGAACGGAATCGGAAGCGGGGCGTGTTCCGGAATTACGATGTAAGGCTTTCTTAAAAGAAATCGAGTCCGAAATATCGAACGGCTAGCTGCATTGGATTTTCAGTTATGCTGAATAATAGATAAGGTTCTTCGGCAGATTCTTAAAACCAATGGCGTCGATGGATATTCTACGAGGATGGGATGAATCATTTCTAGCATAAGAAAGAAAAATAAAACATAATGTTTTTTCAGGTAGACGCTCAGTTCACTTTGCTCTACGAAATTCAAAGCCCTTTATACCTTTTTGAAGCCACACTTCACCTAAGGTGAGTCGTTTAGAGAAAAACCTAATACATTCTCCATTCTGTATTCTAGATATAAAATTATACAATAATGTTTTGGGTTTTTTTATTCTTGATTTATATCTTTCCTGAGTTTCTTGATCTTGGTGTTACCACTTTCGTTGAAAGGAACCCCCTGGATGCAATACTTAAACTAGCAAACGAGATCATATCAATAACAACTCTAGTTACACGGAAAAAAATGTGACTAGAAAATTTTACTACAATTTATAGTTAAAAACTATTAATTATTGTAGCAATTGAATTGTCGAATAAAATGCTACAACAATAGGAAAGAAGTCCACAATGTTTAGTATACTTTGCTATTGTTTGTAGATGTAGAAATTTATTACAATTATCGTAATTACTACTACTAACTTCTGTAAAAAATTGTACAAATATTAATAATTATCTCTACAAAAAATAGTAATTTTCTCTACAAAAAATAGTAATACTTTACATCCCTTATTATGAAAAAAATTCAATTTTGTTCAAAAATATTCTATAATATTGTAGAAATTCTAAGTCATGTGAACAAAACAGAATTCTGCTATTGACCAACGTTTTCTGATGTCGATCATAAATGGCCAGACAGAAGTAGCCGTTCGCCATGTTCACATAACAAAGCATGGTACATATACGAGTACCTATAACACATTATTATATTATAAGCACCGATGCGTTTGAGAAAATTTTAATAATAAATTCTATTGGTGGTAAGTACATTTATTATTATTTCTAAATAATTTACCTTTAGATAACTAATTTAAATAACCTTAGTAGATTATTTTAAAAAAATAGTTGTGGCCAACGATCGAATGTTGTGCCCAACGATCGAATTTTGTGCCAAGTTCAATGATGTTTTTTGTCTTAATTGTGACATACCTACTTTCTCATTTTTGTTAGTTATCTGACTTAGTCATTTAATATCCAAATCAGTGTAAAGGTGATAAATATCCCCGTTTTAAGGGTATGAACAGTTTAATTGGTATTAATTTTTATTTCATATTCTTCAGGTGCAGAAAAGCCAACTGAGACTGAGGACGCTATTATTACTGGTATTTATTACATAATGTAATTAAGACTTTGTATTTTTTATATTAAAACAATAAATTGAATATTTTATTAAGGAACATTTTTTGCTAGGTTATAATTATAGTAATTATGGAATACGACTATAAATTTTATTAAAAATTACTACAATTTGTATGAATTTTTACTATTTATTAACCGACTTCAAAAAAGGAGGAGGTTATCAATTCGTCGCGATATTTTTTTTTTATGTATGTTCAGCAATAAGTCTTCACCACGGTGTCCGATTTCAATGATTCTTTTTTTTTTTAGAAATGGGGTACTTCAGGGGTGGTCCCATATAAATTTGGTTAAAATTCAATAATTGGGTCCATGAGAAAATCCTCAAACTCTTCATTTTTTTGTATGTTTAGCGATAATGCTCTACCACCCTGTTCGATTTATGTGATTCTTTTTTTGTTAGTAGGGGGTACATCAGGGGTGGTCCCATATAAATTTGGTTAAGATGTAGTGATGACATATGTACGTTTTTGCAGTCGGTTTTTTTAAATTTTTAATTTCTAATACTTGTGAGGTTTCTTGGGATTATATTGTTTGAGACTTGATCGAGCTTTTGTCGGAATAATTTATTCATCCTCGGCCATATGCTTCTCTTTAGGATCAAGTAAGAAACGTTCACCAATTTTGTTTAGCAATGGACATATCTTGAAAAGCTTATCATTGAAGTAAAGAAATCGTTTGATTTCTTCAAATCTCTTGCAGGTCATACCACGTGAGATGCAAGGAATATTAATTTAACTATGCTATTAAGGCAGTACAATCCAGGCGATTCTCCAAAAAACTTCAATGCTCCACAGTGCTCATAAACAACGCTCATTGGACCAATGCAAATCAATTGTACGAATTGCCTCTCTTTGCTCTTGTGTTTGAGAATTACGAAATCGGCCCATACTAACGCGGAGTTGTTTTCGTGCGATTTCTTGTTTTTTTTCATTAGATTATTGTGTAAAATTATCGTATTTATTTTCATAAAACGCAATACATTTTTAATATAAATTCATATAATGAATAGCAAAAATTATAACAATTTGTAGAACAATTCTTATGATGCATTTGGATATTTTTACTAAATATTGTAGATAATAACTCTACAATACATTCTCCACAAATATTTGGAAATTTTTACTACAAATTGTCCCTGTCCCTATATGTACTATTTATTGTAGAGAAAAAATCTATAATTGTAGAAATTTGTTTTACAATTTTTTTTCCGTGTAAGATGACGAGCGACGTGAACGTGTGTAATCGTTGCTCTGAAGATTTTAGTGGAAATTCTATTACCATTCAATGCTTTTTTTGTAATAAACGCTTTCATATCAGTTGTCTTCGTTTAAGAA